CAAGAAAAATGTACCTTTGACCGTATGGCACAAGCGGTTTGCGCATGCGAGTGAAGCTACGATCTTGGAAATGACGAAGAAGGAGGTTGTCAGCGGATTGAAGATCGACAAGAGCGGTCCTGTCAGTTCACATGCGTGTCTACCATGCATTCATGGAAAAACAGTTCGAATGACGTACCGGGAGCGACTTTGGCATGCTGAGTAACCGCTTCAGCGTCTTCAAGTTGATGTCTGCACCGTTAACGAGACAAGTATTGACGGTAGTACCTCGTTTCTACTGGTTGTGGACGAATTTTCTCGGTACAAGTGGATTTTCTTTCTACGGCACAAGAGTGAAGCGAAGCAACACATTATTGCACTTATCAACCGACTGCACAACAAGTTTCGTGATCACAAGTTTAGAGTAGAAGAAATTCACTCTGATCAAGGAGGCGAATTTGAGAACGACTGTCTTGAAGACTTCAGTAATCAGCAAGGCATCGCGCTTTCAACCACAAATGGATACACACCACAGGAAAACGGTGTCGTCGAGCGAACGAATGGTATCGTTCTACCAAAGGTTAGAGCTCTTTTGCATATGGCTAATTTGCCAGAGTTACTGTGGGGAGAAGCAGCACTTCACGTGGTGTATACACTGAATGTGACAGCGACGCGAGTGCTGAGTGGTATGACTCCACATGAGAAACTAAGTGGTGAAAAACCTGACGTATCGTGCCTGAGAACTTGGGGGAGTACCTGTTACTACCATATTGCCAGTGGATCGCGCTCAAAGAAGAAGAAGTTGCCTTCAAGAGTGGGTACTTCCATCCTGATTGGTTATTCTCCAAAGACTCACGGCTACAAAGTTCTGGATTTATCGACTGGAGCAGTATCAACTCATCGAGGTGGAAATTTGGTGTTTGCAGAAGACTACACCGTTGGTCATTCGTACGTGGAGTTACTGTTGGCAAATGCATATCAGCATGGAGATCATGACCTTCCCTCTCGAGCATCTCTAGTTCCTATGCTGATACAGATTGATGACGTGGTTAAGTTAGATGCTGTCAACGAGAGTGTGTTAGTACAACCTGCGACAACTGACCAAGTTTTGCAGGTACCACAGCCCTCTATCGGAAAAGATCAAGACTTGTGAATTCCAGTCGCTCTGTATCAGTACCGGTTTCTCAAGACACTACTTCAGGTGAAAGTGATACAGTCGGAAGACATCCTGTCTCGAGTTTCGGTCGAAAAAGAAAGCGGAGCTCTCGGCTGGACAATTGTGAGGTGCACTATACGAACAAGTTGGTTAAAGCTCTACTGTGCTCACTTAAACAGCCTAAAACTAATCAGCTGTATTCACGTGATGTACTTATACCGGCGACGTACAAACAAGCTATTCGTTCCGAATATGCAGCTCATTGGCAAGCGGCAATGGAAGAGGAGCTGGATTCGTTGCGGCAACATGGTGTGTGGCAGGTGGTCAGCAGAGCTAAAGCTGGGAAAGCTGTGGTGATAACGAACAAGTGGGTATTTGCGGTGAAGAAGGACGAGCTTGGTTTTGTGAAGCGATTTAAAGCTCGACTCGTCATTCACGGCTTCAAACAGAAATTCGGTGTGAACTACAATGAGACTTTTGCCCCGGTCATCCGTTTCGACACGATCCGAGTGGCGATTTACTTTGCGGTACAACGAGGTTGGGAAATTTTGCAGTATGACGTGAAAACGGCTTTTCTACATGGCAAGTTGTCCGAGTTGGTCTTCATGGAGCTCCCTCAAGGCAGGGGTTTTCCAGGAAACCAGCAAATTTGTCAGTTGATTAAGTCTCTTCATGGTCTTAAGCAAGCTCCACATGTCTGGAACAAGACGCTGCATCGACACTTAGTAGCCCTCGGATTTGGGCGACTCGAGAGTGACCATGGCCTCTACGGTCTCCCACGAGAAGGGGGAGATAGTGATGCTCCTCACTGTCTACGTCGATGACTTACTTCTGATTTCTGATGGGCGAGAAGAAGTACTGTGAAGAAATTGCCCTAAAACTAGCCTCAAGTTTCGAGTTAGTGGCTCTGGGACCCGTGAAGTATCTTCTCGGAGTTGAAGTTACAGTTGATCGAGAGCAGAAACTGGTGTTATTCAG